AAAACACTCCCCACAAGCCCACAATTCACACCTCTTCCCCTCAACAATAGCAGATGCTCCTCCCATCTTCAGATCCTTGTTTTCTCTCAACTCAGCCTCCGTCACATGCCAACCCCGTTATTTACGCCGCCCCTCATGCCACCCTCAACGTCCACGCCGCCGCCACTTCCTCCGACCCCTCATCCGCCACCATGGTGCCACTCAAGCATCACCGCCCCGCAGACAAGAACGTCCGCGACGAGGCCCATCACCACGAAATCAGCAAAGTTCTACCGACAAGGGTCGATGTAATTGAGAGTAACACCCTATTTTAGAAGTGGGACACTGGGGTTGAACTCCTGTCTTTGACCGTCACTGAACGAATCCATGGTGACGTAGAACTATTATTATAAGTTTTAACCATTGTTTCACCAGACGGTGCAGCCTTCCCAACGACGTCCCTTCGCAGTGGGCCAAAGTTTAATACCTCAAGTGCGTAAACGGTGGCGGCTGCCTCCTTGACGGCTCTACTCGTGAGCGCAAGGAGGGTAAACTGGCTCAATCAGAGTTGGACCGAGTTGTTTGATCCTATAAAACACAGTCTATGTATTTTGTCTGAGTGTGGTTGAATTTTCTCTTGTTATTATTATTATTATTATCATTATTATTATTATTACTATTATTTATTTATTTATTTATTTTTTACTTGAGTCGATTGTCGAGTTTTGATATCATTTATTTTGATTATGATAATTATTTTATTATGTGATGGCAACATGAGACATTCCAATTGTTGTTTACTTCATATTTCTAAATCAACTATGTGAAGTATATAAATCGTTTACACGTTGCAGTTAAGAACTTGCACACATTCTTGTTTAGTATAAGTTCAGTTAGATGTGGTTATTATCCACATTTTTAGACATTCTCAAACACTGATTAGCTTTGACTGGGATGATGTGTCAGAGACCTGGTACGAGGTTAACCTACTACTGCAAATAAAATAACCCGACTAAGGTGTTCATGAATTTTTGGTGAGTGTGTCCTCGAGCAATAGATATGACCATGGCGAGGATGTCCTAATCGTGGTTTCCCTTGTTTTTTAGTTCTAGACTTGAGGGTTAAAATCCATTACTTGTTCTCAATTTGGTACTTCTAACGCTGTTGAAATTGAATGGGAGGAGCGAATATGAACGACGATTGAACGGGAGGTAGGTTTGAGTTCTGCAAGCTGTGGAGGCGGAGGACGAAGAAGAAGATAAGGCCATGTTTAGATGACAATTACAATTTATAAAATGGAAATTTTCTGAAATCTGAATTTGCTGCGACTGGGGTTCATATGCGAAACCAAAATACCAAATAAAGGAAGAAACAAACGCTCTCTCTTCTGATTTGACAGTAAACCACGTCACATACGCACAATATCTTTAATTGAAAAGGAGCACCTTTTTCACCCGTAATTAGTGGAGAGTATATAAATTTGGAGAATATTATAATTTGATATGCATTAAGATATACGGGAATTTAATACATACGAACATTATTTAATTATAAAATGTTCGTCATTAAAAAATTTTATATTATTAAAAACTTTTATGTACACAAAATTATGAGTTTGATTATTGAGTAACTTATGAGGGGCACGGGCTGGACACGAGCTGCACAAAGGACTGCAAAAACCAGGGGCGGATCTAGCTCATAATATGAGTAGGGGCCTATTTATTTTAGAAAATAAATATAATACATCATAATAAAGTATAAATATAAAAATACATATTCATAGAAATTCTTATGAGTTTCATAGCGTGGTCTTACTCTGCAATAAGGTTTTACATTTTCTTTCCGCCTAATAATATTATAATTCACCTCAAGTATATTTGGACTAAAAGTAGCTAATTTTAAAATATTTTCACATGCACTTTTTTGTCAAGACTATTTATTGAAATGTTTCTCCATAATTTGATATAAAAGATGAATTACAATGTATAAAATGTTTTACCTAATATCAGACTTTTAAGAGCACTAAAGTTATCAATCACACACAAATTTAGATATATTAATAATCTTTTAAAAAACAACATTCAACTAACTACAAGTTTAAATTTTTAATTTTTATGTCAAATTTAATAAAAAAAGACTAAATTTATTTTCACCAAAATCAACAAGAACAGTGATTTTTTTTCCCTATTATCTCTTTTTTCCTCCTTCTTTGTGTTTCAATTGTTTTTTATTTATTTTATTTTATTAATGGATACTAAACTATTTTTTGAGTAGACTATATAAAATAGTATTTTTCCCCAGAGTGGGCTTAGGCCCACACTGGGCCCTATAAGGCTCCGCCCCTGGCGAAAACTGTGCCTCACACAACTAGGCTCCCTTGTTGGGCTTCTCTCATAGGCTGTGGATGCTGATTGCTGTCGTCGAAAAAATGCCCCACACTTGGACAATTTTTCTTATATCTAACTATATTATAAATTATATTTTATTCCAAGTTTAAAACTTTTTCAATCCTATTTTATGTAGATAGTTATTTTATATTCCCAGCTACACTAATAAAACATGTTTTTAGTTTGAATCATGTAACTTCCTAAATAGTGAGTTGAATAATTTATAGATAGAAACATAATTTAATGATTCCCTCTAATTTCATATTCAACATCCCCTCTTATTTCATATTCCATATTTCACAATTTTCTCCAAATAAAAAAAAAAATTACATACAATAATTATTAGGTTGACCATCAAATATATTAAAATAAGACTGTAAATAAACGTAAACTTTTCCTTAATAATTTCTATATTTTTTTTAAATAAAAATTGTAATGTTTCGACATAAATTTGGTTTGTTTGTTTTTCATTAATTGTTTATGAATAGGCTATCTATCTTAATTTTTGTTCAAAGTTGGTTTATTTTTTATTTATATCATCAGACTTGATTGCACACGTTTTTTATGGTAATATAAGATAACATCAGAAATATTATCTTTGATACGGATCAGCTTTAAAGACCCTCGAGAATAATCAACTCTGTTTTACTTTGAACATTTTTAAAAAAAATCCAGCACGTGAGTTGTTTTTTTTTTCTTTGGAAATAAATAATGTACAAATTACGCATACGTTTTAATAAAAATTGAATCTATTAACATTTTCATTACATTTGAATCTAATTTGTTTATATTAAAAAATATAATTATATATTTTGACTTAAAATACTCCAAAAAATTAAAAAGATTCAAGTCTCAGTATTCATGTACGAATTAATATTGTACCACAAAATAGTTGCTGTCTTGTAGTTATATTATTTGTACATTAATAAACCGATACTTAATGGATAAACTACAAAAAAAGAGTTTTACAAAAGTGAAACAATTCCAGATTTTGAAGTAGTAAATCCCTTCATATAAGGGATGATTTGTTTCCCAAAAATTAAGTCCCGAATTGTTTGCCCGTATAATGCAACAAATTCATATGAACTGCAATTAATTTATCCTTTACGTGAAATAAAAAAAAAATAAAATTGCCATAAATGGAAACTATTTAATTATGTCTGAATTTGATCAAAGAGTTTACTTGCCATTTTTGATAAATGGTAAATCTTATTATATATATATAGATACGAAACAATAATGATAACTCAGGCTATGTTTGGATTGAAGAATTTATGGAGAGATTTAAAATATAAAAATTTTAAATTTACAAGTTCAAATCCTTATATATGTTTGAGATGACAATGGAAGTTGGAAGATTTTAAATTCATGCTATATATTTTTTAGTCATTATTTTGAAAGATTTTAAATAACTCATCAAACGTAGTTAATTGAAATTCAATGTTTATCACGTTGACGACCACGTCGTTCGCAATCATTTAGGTTCATCACCACCCAGTGTTTTTAAAAGCGTAGCTTAGCGCGCTACGTCGCGCGAAATAGCGCAAATCTCCTGAAAAATGCGCCATAGTGCCTGTAATTTAGCGCAGTTCCAACATAGCGTACGCCTTTAATGACGTGGCACGCATTTTTTGGATAGCGTACGCGATTTTTGCTATGGCTTAAATTCTGCACGTTATTTGAAGGCAGAAAATTAAAAAAATAAAAAAGAAAAACAAAATTGAAGGCGACGAAAATCACAATCAGAAACTCAGAAAGCAGAATTCACGAAACCCTCGTTTCACTTCTCTTCATCATCTCCCTCTCGGCCTCTCCACCGCAGCCTCCAAGGATTCATCACAGCCCAGCTCCCTTCATCATTTCACTTCTCACATCCTCTGTTTCCTCGACTCTCGTCTCTCGCTCCCGCCTTTCGCAGCTCTCGGCACCCTCAAAGTCCCTTCTCCTCGGCTCTTTGTACCCTACATCCCTTGCACGGTTGCACCTCGACTTTCAACTCCAAAGGTATCATTTTGTTTTTCATTTGAGATTATTAATAGCTTCAGTGAATGATTTCGTTTTCTCGCTCTTGCCTTTCATTTTTTTTTTTTTGAAGCTGCTTCACAGAACATGAATTGAAATTGGCCCTCTTCTAGTGAATGATTTCGATTTATTTTTTAAATTAGAGTGAGATAAAAGGATTGATGGAGATTGATGTTTGATTGCATTTTTTTTATGTGTGTTTTTCGATTTTTTTTTTTAAATTAGAGTGAGATATAAAGATTGATGGAGATTGATGTTTGATTGCATTTTTTTTATGTGTATTTGCCTATTTGCTGATTGGATCTGGCTATTTTTTTTAATGATTCAGAGTATATAGAAGACTAGAAGTATAGAACAGATCTATTTAATTTGATGATTCTATTGTAGTTGAATTGTGTCCTGATTCTTGAATATCTGAGTATGGAACATATAAGACATAAATGAATTGTGTCCTGAATTATTTCCATTTGGTAATGGAACATCAGTGAGGTATTTAAAGAAGTATGCAGTTGTTTTTTTATTAGAATGATTGATTAAATGTTTCTAAACTTAAATTATTAGTTTGTTTATTATTAAGGTTAAGAAAATGGATCCAAACATAACTGAATAGATGAAGAGATTACTGTTTTGTTGTGATTACTGTTCTTATTACAGTCAAATAATGAGTTGGATGAGGCCAATTATTTTTAGATTTTGAGTCTTTACTTTGAAGATTATGACTTCGGGTTGTTGTATGAACTAATATTTGAATGTTGTTTTTTAGATTTAATGTCTAACTTTATGGTTTAAGACTATTTTAATTATTTATTTACTTGTATGGTTATATATATTATTATTTTTGGCATTTAAAGTGAACTGCTTGAATAGCTTACGCAATGCGCTACGCTATTTACGCTACGCAATATCAGGACCAAAACGCAACGTGATGCGCTATGCGCGTTTTAAAACACTGTCACCACCGCAAGTCAACACCATCGGTGCGAGCTAGACAATTGATTTATAATATTTTCAACACTTTCATTGCAAGTAAAAAATTAATATTTCAAAAATTTTGAAATCAAATGATTTTAAATCCCTCCAAACAAACGTAGTCTTATATAAATTAAGACTATGTTTGTTTCAACGGAGAGGAGGGGAGGGGAGGTGATGTAAAATAATTTTACCTTGTTTGGGGGATTTTGTTGGGAGGGAGTGAAGGAAAAATGATATACTTTGGTTAGAAAAATGTAAGAGAAAGAAAATATTGTAAAAATGACAGTTATACCCTTAATGAAGTAAGAAACAAAAAATTAAAATAATTCACATATGAAGGACATAAGAGTAATTTTTTATTTTAAAATTTTTTCTCTCCTCCAAATTCCCTACTTTTGGAGGGGAGCAAAATTGCTAGAGGGGAGGGATTTTGACTTAAAATCTTTCCTCCCCTCCTCTCCTAAGTTATAAACCAAACAAAGAAAAATTATAATTTTCTATCCCCTCCCCTCCCCTCCATTTCCCCCAACCAAACAACCCGTAAAACCGTTACATAAATATTTGATTATTCTAAAATACTTTTGAATATTAATATTATATTTTTCTTTTTGTTTTATATTTATGATACATATCAATTTATTGAGGTATAATGTCATTATTATGTATAACACTTATAGAAGTAATATTTTTTATATAATGATAAATATTCAATGTATATTAATATTATTTATTGTTGTAATTAATTTTAAAATATATAAGAAAATATAATGTTTGTTAGGTCTGAAATTATATGTAAATTAAGATAAAATAAAATGTATCAAAAAAAATCTGCTTATGATATTTTTCTTTAAATATTTGAATGAATTTGAAATTCAAATTGCAAATCTATCGCCAGTTTTTCAAAGAATTTCAAAAAATTATAATTGTAGTAAATCCAAATTTCTAGGCGAAGTTTTACTTTCTAGTTAAAGTAGATCCTATTGTTATTTTATATCCATAGATGAGAAGGTATCCAAGTCTTTAATGTGCACTTGGAGTGAGCCACACCGGTGTTGGCACAATTCTTCTATAGCTTCGAACATCACATGGATAATAACATGTAGACAATGTCTGGTTCTCATAATCGAAAATCCCTATGTCATGGCCGCCATAGATCGAATCTAACAGAACCTGATGCTTGTTGGAATCGGTGAAGTAAATGCAATTGGCTTCAAACCCTGATGACACTGCAAACGAATGGTTCATTCCTATAAACATTGCCAGGCCATCCAAGGAATTGCCGCAACCACCAACAATCCGACTGAGGCCATTGATGCGGCCATTGATTCCGGCAGCTGGTCCCGTTTCAAAATGGATTTCAACAACTGAAAAACCGACAGTTTTGTGGGGATAGAGATGGACCATCAAGCGGTCACTCACCGGATCGTAAGGTATGCTGTCGACATCCACAAAAGGTCGGTTAATGCAGGCTCGTTGGATGACAAATCGAATCACGAGAAAGAGCCGATCTCGATCTCCATGATTGTCATTCACAAGGTACGGGATTTGCCTGCAGGATTCGACAATATCCATATTTTCCTCTATCCATGGGCATTTCGGGCCTTTTATATCTATCAAGTGCCAGTAGATACATTTGGATTTGGATTTGAAGGAGTGAGGGTCAGAAAGAAGATCCCAAACCTCGAATTGGGTTGGAACGGCGAGACTCCAGTCCTCCAAATCTACCTCAAACGCAATGCAGTTAAACACTTCACGCTTGGGGCAATAGGTAAAATCCTCATAAATCCTTGCATAATCCACCCCGTAGTCTCGAATTTCCTCTTTGTAGCCGTCGAAGAACGAGTCTTCCATAGGGGACCATTTAGTGCAGCGGCGAGGCCGGCAGAAAGCTAGCCTCTCTCCAGGGCCGTAGGACATGACGGCGCGGCAACCTTCCTCGTCCTCGTCTGGGCAGCACGAGAGCACGACTTTAGACACGCGACCGCGGCCGTCGGTCAGGTTGATCTCCGGGTCGGGCAAGGGTGTGGACGGGCGGGAGATTGATTTGGCGGTGGGTGAACGGATTTGATAGAACAATAGAGTTGTTGCGGAAGTTGAACAGGGCGAGCCAGCCGTGGGACGATCACACGATTTCGGACTCGAGTAAGTCCGATCGATGCTTGACAGAAGCACTGACGCTCTCGATTCGCTCCGCCGCCGGGTTATAGAACCTGTAAATCAAGTTGCCGCCATTGGAGACAGGTGGTAACACTAGCAATGGTGTTCGTGGCGTTGAACGTAGGGTGCACATCCTCCTCTGCTCGTAATGATATGGAGCGCCTGAATTGCTACTAGGATTCCCCATTCCGGTGGAAACACGACTGAGGAAATTAGAATAACGGCGGCGGAGAAGTGTCGAAGCCATGCGGATGCCCGATTGAATTTGGATGTAGAAAAACTAGAGGTTTAGGGGTTTACATCGTGGCCTCCTATTAAGCTTGGTTATGAGTAGGCCTTTAAGTGAAAAGCCATATTCCTATTCTTTTAATCCTTTAGTTTTTTTTTTTTTTTTTTGATNAAAAGTTATCTCATTTAAAAGATTCATTATTATCATACCGCAAAATAAGTCGGACCGAAAAAAATTACAAATCTTGAATGATTTTTTTTAATTAGAACCATATATCTCATTTAACACAAATAATTTATGACATCTATATAAGTAGTCAGTTACACAAATCATTTACCACATCTTTTAACATTTTTTTCAATCCCTAATATATAAAATCTAACTAATTTCATTTTTTCCATCCCACAATATATCATTCACGTAGTGTTTTTTTAAGTCGGTTTCTCGAAAAAATAGCCATACTTGAAATTAAGGGTTGTTCGTATATTTGAAAGAAAATTCGAAGTCAAATAAAAAAATGTGTTGGAAATAAATTTCCATGATGAAGAGGTAAATATTTTTTTTGTCATTTTTTATTTATTATTATCGAATCCATATGCTAAAATTATTTAAATTATTAGTCTGTGGTGACTCACATCAAATCAAACCAAAACGTTGTTTACAAAATAGTATTCAATAACATATAAATTTTTTAATTTATTCGACCCGTTTACATTTGTTACAAATATACCAAGACTCCAAGTCATTAATTTAATATTCAATATTAATTTTTTTTTTAGAAAATTACATCTTCCCATGCATCGCACGGGTTATGATTAATTTGCACTTGAAACCGCGATATAGTTAAAAAACTGAATTACTATTCACCGTCCTCTATTACTACTCACCGTCTCTTTCAATTATATTTTTGCCCTTCACTACTTTCTCTACTCTTTACCTCTCGATTTTATACGATTTTTTTTATGACGAGGCACACAATCGAGGCAATAGCGTATATTGCTCATGCTATTTGGGACCATTACGTATCAATTTTTAAAGGCAGAAAATAAATAAAAAAAAAAAAGCAAAATAGAAGGCAATCAAAGTTAGTCACGAAACCAGAAACCCTCAGTTCGCCTCTTCATCACAGCCTCCTCCACTGCAACCTCCACGGCTCCACCACATCCCGGCGAGAGTAGTAACTCCGCCGCCTCCACGGCTCCACCTCAGTCTCCTCACAACCAAACTGCTTCTCACATCTCGCCTCTCGCATATCGCCACTCCCAAAGTCCCTGCTGCTCGGCTCTCGCTACCCTACATCACCTGCTCCTCGGTTCTCGACTTCAAAGGTAATATTTTGTTTTTCATTGGAGATTATGAATAGCTTCATCAGAACTTCAAATTGAAATCGGGCCTCTTCTTCATTCACTTGATGATTTAGGTTTTCTGATTAATTGGCATGATTATTTATTTAATTAATAAGTGAGATATAAATGATTGACTGATTCTTGCTGTTTTGAGGATTGAATTTCTTTTATGTGTATTTGCCTATTTCTTAGCTGTGTTTTGAGGATAGAAAGCAAGTTACAATTATTATGCTCTAACTGGGAGCATTTAGACCTTGTTTTACAGCATTCAAACAAATATAAATATGGATGACCGAAAGTATTTTTGCCTCAATCTTTTTTTTCAAACTTTTCATTCGGTTAATGTATAAAAGGGTTAATTTCAATCTCCAGTTACATGGTTTTTAATCATTGCATCAAGAATATTATGTATAAAAATGTTACATGGTTTGTGTATAAAAATGTTACATGATTACTGTTGTGATTACTGTTTGATGATTACAGTCAAATATGCAATTACTATTATGTCCAAGTTTATGGTTAAGACCATTTCAATTATTTATTTGCTTGTATGATTATATACGTTATTATTTTTGGCCAATTGCTCGAATAGCTTACGAAACACGCAACGCAGACGATTGTGTTCAAAGGGTGAAAACCCCTTCAAACAGAACAGTACTGTCGCCGAAAAACTAAATGGACCACTCATGCGCAGTTATATATTTTGAACATATAGTTTACTCGAAAACAGATATTCAATTGATTCTGAAAATTATATGAAATCAGAAACAGAGGTACAATTCTTGTGAAGATTTCGAACACTTTCGAGCAAGTTAGAAGAGTGAAAATGATTCAAAACTCAGAAGTAATGCTGCTGCTAATTTGATAGAAAACAGCTACTCGCGATGTAGAATTTGAGGCACAGCTTTTAATAGGAAATACGTATTGAAATAATTCTTGTTCCTAAAAAATGCCAAGGGACATATCTACGGCTATGTTTGGTAAAACTAGCTAATAGCTGATAAGCTAGCTTATAACTTATACGTAATTTTTGAGTTTATAGCTTATAGCTGAAAGGCGATAAAAGCGTTTGGTAAAATTAGCTGCTAAGCTAGCTGAAATAAAAAATTCAACTAACTTATTTTAAAAGCTACCTAAAGAAGCTTATGAGATAAGCTCGAGCTTTTTAAAAAAGCCCGTCCTACCAAACGAGGTTTAGCTAGCTTATTTGACTACCAAACATAGCCTACAACTCTCACCAAGACACAAAATCCAAAATAGTACTTTACAGAAGTCGAAATCGACATGAACCAATAATATGTTGCTTTGTAAAGTCGAAATCGACATGAACCAATAATATGTTGCTGGACAGCAACTTCCAGTGGGGTGCAGTCTTTGCATTACGACTACAACCTTTCAAATAAAATAGATAACTGAAAAATTCTTGTACCTACAAGAAGACGAGAGACTAAACTACAAATTCATGAACACATTAAAACTAGAAAACCACATGATAGAGAGACTAAACTACAAATTCATGAACACATTAAAACTAGAAAACCACATGATGAGAGCCAAAATAGCATAAAACCGGCAAATAGTGCAAAGCTAGATTCTAGACTGCATTTTTAAAATATAACAATTACGTCCAAAAATATTATCAAATTTTTAAAACGCCACCCATGAACTTCAAACCAGACTGCATACCATGTCTACATTAACGGTTGGCCCCAGACTTCACCGAATGTCTCCCGGCACCTCCATTCTGACAACCTAAAAATGATTGAACTTCGCTGATTCTTGTACATGAGATACCAACAGTATGCCTTAAAAGGGGTACTAGGGGGATATCTCACTCACAACGGTGGGGCGGGGCTGTAGATGGCCAAAGCGGCGGGGTCGTGTGTGGCCGTGCTGTATGTTGTGTGTGTCGTATGTGCATGTCGTGTGTAGACTTGTTAAAACTGTCTAGGCCTGCGAGCCGCCCCAAGTTTTCCTATTTGTCCTAATTTGGCCATCTACAGCCCCGCCCCGCCCCGCCAAAGTACGTGGATTTTAGGTTGTCAGAATGGAGGTGCCGGGAGACATTCGGTGAAGTCTGGGGCCAACCATTAATGTAGACATGGTATGCAGTCTGGTTTGAAGTTCATGGGTGGCGTTTTAAAAATTTGATAATATTTTTGGACGTAATTGTTATATTTTAAAAATGCAGTCTAGAATCTAGCTTTGCACTATTTGCCGATTTTATGCTATTTTGGCTCTCATCATGTGGTTTTCTAGTTTTAATTTGTTCATGAATTTGTAGTTTAGTCTCTCGTCTTCTTGTAGGTACAAGAATTTTTCAGTTATCTATTTTATTTGAAAGGTTGTAGTCGTAATGCAAAGACTGCACCCCACTGGAAGTTGCTGTCCAGCAACATATTATTGGTTCATGTCGATTTCGACTTCTGTAAAGTACTATTTTGGATTTTATTTTGGATTTTGTGTCTTGGTGAGAGTTGTAGGCTATGTTTGGTAGTCAAATAAGCTAGCTAAACCTCGTTTGGTAGGACGGACTTTTTTAAAAAGCTCGAGCTTATCTCATAAGCTTCTTTAGGTAGCTTTTAAAATAAGCTAGTTGAATTTTTTATTTCAGCTAGCTTAGCAGCTAATTTTACCAAACGCTTTTATCGCCTTTCAGCTATAAGCTATAAACTCAAAAATTACGTATAAGCTATAAGCTAGCTTATCAGCTATTAGCTAGTTTTACCAAACATAGCCGTAGATATGTCCCTTGGCATTTTTTAGGAACAAGAATTATTTCAATACGTATTTCCTATTAAAAGCTGTGCCTCAAATTCTACATCGCGAGTAGCTGTTTTCTATCAAATTAGCAGCAGCATTACTTCTGAGTTTTGAATCATTTTCACTCTTCTAACTTGCTCGAAAGTGTTCGAAATCTTCACAAGAATTGTACCTCTGTTTCTGATTTCATATAATTTTCAGAATCAATTGAATATCTGTTTTCTATTAAACTATATGTTCAAAATATGTAACTGCGCATGAGTGGTCCATTTAGTTTTTCGGCAGCAGTACTGTTCTGTTTGAAGGGGTTTTCACCCTTTGAACACAATCGTCTGTGGTTGATGTCTGAATAAGAGGTTTAGATGTGTGTCTTGAAATTGTATTGGAGCTGGAATCACTTCAATACATGTTTTCTATTAGAAGTTATGTTTAATATTACAAACATGACGCTGGGCTGTTTGCTGTCAAGTTGGCAACAAGGTTGTTCGTTTTTTCCCTGCTTTCACCCTTGCAACGTCTCGTTAGTTCTCGGAGTCATTATAAGAGTTTTAGTCCAGTATCTTATCTTTTCATTTCCTCCGGATTCAATTTGATATCTATTTTATGGAATAAGTTTTGGTAAAAATACGAACATCGGACTCCGTCATTAAGGTTTGCATGTCACTCATTCAGGTGGGTCAAAACTTTGAAAATTACGCATTCTATAAGGAACTTTGTTTTGTTTCATGAGTAGCTGCATGGGTAAAAACTTTTACGAAAAATTCCGTATTAAACGAGAAGCTTATTTCATGATTTTTTTTTTTTTTTACAGGAAAAATAAATTGTTTTTGAGCATGTATCTTGAATCCACAGTGACATGATTTTATATTTGAATTTATATCCGGCATGAGGCTTATACCTTGGACGCTTTAATTGATTCATTATGTTCAACATGTGAATGATATGAGATTTCTGAATATGTTATGAATTTTGAACAACTTGAATAGGTTTGGAATATGTATCCACTTGTGATTTGTTGGAACATGTCTTGTGTATGTGCACCATTATCCGATCAACATTCGGTGATGCATTATATGAGCCGGAACAGAAACTAAGTGGTACGTGCTTGAGCCACCATTAGTTTCTTTAATGGAACTATGTGTTCCGTTATGAGAGCCACCTCTAGAGTCCGTTTCAGGGATATGTGCTTGAGATATGTGATTGTGTACGTGACTTGCGTGTTTGAACAGTTTGATTATGCTATTTGTTATGATTTGTCCGTGCATCTCAAGTCATTTCATGAATTATGAAAATCGTTTAGCACTTTGAGTTCTCGTTCTGATGCTTTTTATAAAAATAATGGGACTGGAAAAAAATTGAGTGGGTCGAGTTAATATCAAGCGGTAACCGTAGATTATTAATTTTACCCAGATATGGAATTTCACATTCTAGTCACTGTTCAAAGAGTTGTTTGCTCTTGCTCTTATTGTGCTTAATAAAATGCCTGTCACGGTTTTTTGTAGGGCTTGTTATGTTTCCACATCCAGTACACATGGCTTCAGATATGGAAACAATTGAAAAGAGATTGAAATCTTTTACTGGTCAGCTCCAGACAGAGTTTGGAATACTCGAGAGGCTTGTGTATAAACACAAGAACCAACACCGCAGATGCACTTACTTTCAGTATGTTCTCAAGGTAGGAAGCCTTGATAATGCTTGCGCATGTGTATGGTTGAGTGTGCATGCGGGACTGGAATTGGTGAGTATTGAGTATGGTCATTCGTTTTTTGTGGTTGACAGGTTAGAAGGGATTTGAAGCTTCTGATATCAGCAAATGTGGAGGACATATTCAATTCTTCTTTTCTCGTGGTCAATGGGAACCGGCCAAAGCAAAAGGTTCAACTTTTGGAAAGGTGCTGCAACATCTTGTTACCAACCTACTGTCCTTTATTTTTTTCCTTTTTGTTGCTGTTAAGATCTTTACTAGCACTGTTCCATAGTTATGGTTACTCTCTTCCCCAGGGATTTAGGTGTACTTGAAGTGAAACAAACTTGATATGATGTGTGATTGTTCTGCAGAAAATCCTTGATATTTTATTACGTGCTTTTCCAAAATCAGCATTATCTTCATATTAGCAAAAGTTTGAGTGTGTGGAGTTCCAGGTGGAGTGTGGACATATTTCAACGTATTCATGTTTTGCCAAGAATTCATTTCATATTCGAAGAAACGAGGCCACAGCCTTCCTTAGTTGACCTGGTGGTGAAAAGATGACCAGAATTGATTGTGTGTTTCTATAGTTGTTATTGTTAATCTTATCCCTTTGTGTATTTCAGTTTGAAGAAGAGAAAATGTGGAGCTGGAAAATTCAATTTTTTGGAGAAGCTTTTAGGAATTACCCGCCTCTTGTCACAGGTAGTTTTTCCACCCTTTGTGCTTAACTTATACTATAGTCAAGCTAATTTGCTAATTTTCTTCAACTGTTTGTCATATTGTTGCAGATAGTTGAGCCATTGCTCAAGGCGGCTATGTATCCTCATTGTTTCGGCTGTTTAATATGTATATTCTTTACAGAATATGTCTCCAACATGAATGAAAGACTTTTGACAGAAAAAAGAAAGCTGTTTTTACAATATTGGACATACAGTTTGTCCTTCTGAACATTTTTATACGAACCCACCATATTAATCCAAAGACTTAATACATATTTTCTCTTAACAATGTAAAGGGAGCTGTCAACACTTCTTGCGCGCTCGTTTTTCATGAAGTTTTCACTGACGACATTGGCCGTGCTTGCGCGGATCCGAGTACTGGTTCAGCAAGTAAGTTATGACGTTTTTCAACTTCAACCTTTTCAACTGTGCTTTGCCGTAACTATGGACCTGTGGTCATGATATATCGACAAAGTATTATTTTTCTGTTGGTGTATAATCATGATGATTGCCATGAGATATTATGTGGATTCAATGAGTAGCACAGGCAGCTTATTATGATTTTTTTGCTATATTTTATTTTATTTCTTCTTATAATTGTTGCTATTTTTTTTAGTATTATGATTACATGTTGTCATGCAACTAATCGTTAAGAGAGCATTTGAGATGGAAAAAAAATTGGTTTTTCTTTCCCGAGATTTGGTTTTAGTGTATGGCCAAAGCTTCAAGGAACTGACTTGTGCAGCTTCCAATTGCTTACAATTTCTTCACATCTGCAGATGCTTCTTGATGCTGTTCTTCTTTACAACACTGTTTCTTCTATTTCTCATAGCGAACAGTCTGTGAAGCTAAATCAAGAAGGAGTTGAGGTTAATCCTTCCCTATTTATTGGCATTTATCCACAAGGACTGTTCTTATCTTGCAGTTTTGCTCATGGGTAGGCCTTTTCTTTTTATGCAGGTTTTCCGGGAATATTATCCAAGAAAGGAGGAAGCTTCAATAATGCTAGAATGTGTTTGGCAGACAGATAAGTATCTGTTAGTCGAGCAGAAGCATAAATGTGATTCCAATGCGCAAGAGAAGGATTTACTGGAAGATGTTCCACTGGGCACATCAGAAATACAATATGAAAACATCGAGGTTTTACTCGGAGGTAAAAGAATATTTATAAAAAAGAAAAAACTAATCTCAAATGGTTATTCTATCTTGAAATTATATACTCCATATCAGCCTCTCCAACTTTTTTCACTTGCCTATTTTCCTTTTTCCTAATATTTCTTTATTTGTTCTGGTGTAGACTGCTAATCTAATCTCACTCTCGTTTCTGTACTATTTGTACTAATTACAACCATCACAAGGTCTAACTTTAATTAAAAAAAAAAATACCACACGTTTCTTAAAATAACATATACCCCATTAATATTAGTAGGGTTGTTGTGAGGTAGGCCTAACATTAAATGGACATACATTTTTACCAAATATGCATACTTTTAAAATAAGATGCCATATTTTAAGAAACAGCATAAAGTATAAACAAGAAGTGTGATATTTCATAATACAAGTAAACATTTTTATTCAAAAAGTATAGGCCGGCCTTCGGCCTTACCTTTAGGCTGGCTCACAACAACCTTTGGGCATTCAATATGTTTGTCTTACGTGTTCCGTAAATACCACTGTCCAGTGGGTGTATTTATTTATTGCTAAAGGAACTATTTGTGATTCTGAGATAAACAATTATTTTCTTCCCTTGTTCATTTGTGTTTTTTCTTTGTTGGGGTCCCAATTTAGTCATCGAGCATCATTGGTAATCTCGTAATTTTTCCTTTATTTGTGTAGTTGATGAATCTGGTATTGCAGCAGCTTCGGAGCCTAGTCTAGCCACTCCAGTTAACATTGAAAAAGATGATGAGATTCCTTTGATAAAAAATGACGAGAAACTTATTGAAGGGAACACCTCAGAATATATAGTGGGACCTTCAGCTGAAACCTTAGCTTACTCAGAAAACGTGTTAACCACCAAGAATTTATCAGCGGGAATGATCTTTGAGTCGAATGATGAAAAGCAAGCTGAGGAAAATTTGTGCATTACTGAAGGTGACTTGCCAACTAGTTGGAGCAAACCTCTTGTTGCCGGTCCACCGAAACTTAAAAACATTAAAAGGGAAAGGGTTGCATTTGTGTCTGTTAAACCACCAGCCCCATCTTCTGCTAGAAATGAATCTAAGTTGTTGGATTTGAAACCTTTGGAAAAGGAAGAGGTTGAGAAATACGATGATCCGTTTTTTAAACTTCTGACTGGAGGAAGCAAGAAAGGTCGGATTTTTTAACTCACTGTTACTGCAATTTTTGGGTCTTTTTTTATGGTAATGTTTGTTGATGTTCTCATGTAGGAGATAGTGAATGAAAGGAAGCATATTTTGCAATTTCACAGCGTTGGCCGAGATTTTGGCCCTCCTGTTTTTTGTGTTTTTTTGTTCGATCTTGATTGCTTGGTGGATGATAAAATTCTGCCTTCAGTATCATGTGAAACTGTGAACACTTCATTCGAGTTTGAAGTGTATGATGAGCTGTAACAACAAATTTTATGAAAAACATAAGACTTTTGTACAACTTGAATATATATTGATCAAACGATATGCGAGTACAATCTCTATATGTATCTTCTGATTCTTCTCTTCATGGATCTTTAACTTGAATGTCGTCGATCTTCAAAAACACCTTTGGATCTTCAAGAGAATTATTGAGAGCTCTTTGAATTGAGACTTTTTTTTATGAGGTATTGAATTTTTTGAGGTGTGATTTGTGGCATTAGAGAGAACTCTATTTATAGGTGTAGGAGAGAGAATCTTGAAGAAGAAGACATCAATTTGATTGGTCCTTCATGATTTGATATAATCTCTTTCCTTATCCTAAGATTTGATATAATCTCTTTCCATATCCTAAGATTTGACTTGGTGAGCAAGAAATATTTACTTTATTAATTATATATCTTATTTATCTTGGATTTATGTCCATAAATAAATAAAGACACTAATTAATAAAATATTAAAATTTCGATGTCTACAAATGCCCCATTGAGACTTGTTCACGGACAAAATGTCTTGGTAGTGAATGAGTCTCAAAATTTTAGATTGGTTGAGACATGAAGATAGTTTAAACTCTTATCTAGGAGTTCTTCAACTTGGGTTTGTAGATAGTTTAAACTCGTGTCAAGGAGTCTTGATTTGATTTGATATGTAGATAGTTTATTCTCTTATCAAGGAGATCTCGATATGTAGACCTTTTATGCTCGTGTAAAGGAGCCTTCGAATTTGATATGTAGACCTTTATTCTCGTGTCAAGGAGACCTTGATATGTAGACATTTTATGCTCGTATCAAGGAGCCTCAAATTTGATATGTAGACCTTTTATTCTCGTGTTAAGGAGTCTTCAAATTTTTAGACATTTTATGCTCATGTCAAGGAGCATTGTAGATAGTTTAGGCTCATATCATGAAGCATTTGAATATGTAGATAGTTTAGACTCTTGTCAAGGAGCATTTGAATATGTAGATAGTTTAGGCTCATATCAAGGAGCATTTGAATATGTAGATAATTTAGACTCTTGTCAATGAGCATTTGAATATGTGGATAGTTTAGGCTCATATCAAGGAGCATTATAGATAGTTTAGGCCCGTATCAAGGAGCTTTTGAATATGTATATAGTTTAGGCTCATATCAAGAAGCATTTGAATATGTAGATAGTTTAGGCTCATACCAAGGAGCATTGAATTTGAGGATTGATGGAGCTCTTCATGTAAATTGCCCCTATGGAATTTGAGAAGAATATGGAAGACCACTTTTGTTTCTTCCATTCGGATATTTGATGAACTCGATGATTTTTGATAGAATCATGGCCTAGGAAGACATCATCCTTCGTTGCCCCCGTGTACATTTTCTTCACAGATGTCTTCATGCATCTTCAAAGATCTTCGAACTTAACTTGGAGAGAAGAGATGAGGGATAGAGATGGTCCCACTGGGCGTGCCAAATTTGTAACAACAAATTTTGTGAAAAGTCCCACTGGGCGTGCCAAATTTGTAACAACAAATTTTATGAAAAACATAAGACTTTTGTACAACTTGAATATATATTGATCAAACGATATGCGAGTACAATCTCTATATGTATCTTCTGATTCTTCTCTTCATGGATCTTTAACTTGAATGTCGTCGATCTTCAAAAACACCTTTGGATCTTCAAGAGAATTATTGAGAGCTCTTTGAATTGAGACTTTTTTTTATGAGGTATTGAATTTTTTGAGGTGTGATTTGTGGCATTAGAGAGAACTCTATTTATAGGTGTAGGAGAGAGAATCTTGAAGAAGAAAACATCAATTTGATTGGTCCTTCATGATTTGATATAATCTCTTTCCTTATCCTAAGATTTGATATAATCTCTTTCCATATCCTAAGATTTGACTTGGTGAGCAAGAAATATTTACTTTATTAATTATATATCTTATTTATCTTGGATTTATGTCCATAAATAAATAAAGACACTAATTAATAAAATATTAAAATTTCGATGTCTACATGAGCATTTAAGAATATGTTGACTACAAAATGTGCAAGTTTAGTTTCAACAAATCAGACTGGCGCAGCAGAAGCATGGTTGGCCCATAACCCACACGTCCCAGTCACTTTTCTTTTATTTTTCTTTTTCTTTTTCACCACTCCAGTTCTTTTTCTTTTACTTTATCACCACTCTAATTTTGTTACTGTTTCTTTTCCTTTTTGTTTTTTTTTGCTAAAATAAATATCAAGTTGTATAATTATACTAATAGCTTATATGATTAGAGGTGGCCACGAACCCGGCCCGGTCAAGCCCGTTGACTATGGGTCTGAACTCGGCTCGAATTTTAACCGGGCCACGTTTTTTCGACTCTCGCTTGGCGGACTGGGCCGGGTCGGGTCTAGTCTGGCCCGGGAAATCACTGCATATTTTGATTAATTTTTTATTTTATTTTATTTTTTCAAATTGTCCCAGACTCAGGTCGGGCTATCTACCCTACGAGCCTAGGTACGGGCCGATTCCAGGACCCTGTTTTCGAACTCGGTGGCCCGCAGGGCATGAGCCCGGCCCGTGTTTTGGCCATGTCCACATAGGGTTGTCGTGGGACTCTTTTCCACATTAACTACTAATATTCGACCCTGTGTATTTGCACAGTGTAAATAGAATATTATAAGTTATATTTATGCTAGTATTAAAATTATAAGTTACACAATGATATTATATTTTAAACATAGAGTATTATGAGTTATATTTATGCATATAATAATAAAACTATAAATAAGATAATGATATTATGTTTTAAAATTTGATCATTGGTTAAAATAAATAGTACATAACTATTTGTTTGCATATGAACCACTATATTAATTACAATAAAATATAATAAATAATGTAATTTTGAGAGATCGCCAATTTATTAACTTAAAAATATTATATTTATTATAACATTTGATTATGTGATTTTAAAGAATTTTAATATAACATTAAAATAAATTAACTTATTTAAAAATACAATCACTAAATAAGATAAAAAAAATATAATATTAATTTTAGAATAAATAACTTTAGCAAAAAGTTTTCAATATTTTTTTATGTTTATGCAATTTTCATATATCATTTAGTGTAAACTATAGTTATTAGTTTTAATAACAACTATTATATGATATAATAAAATAATATAATTATTACTCCATTAATATAAAATGTAACAGTTTTGTTTTAATTAACCATAAAAAAGTGCAATGAAATATTTTAGTATTAATTAGATATGATGGATTAATAATAATAATAGAAGATTATAACATAAAAAGATGTTAAACAATAATTAATATTGTTAAATTTATTGTTGGTAATTAAATATAGAGAGAGATATAAATGATAAAGTTTGTAACGGTTTTTGGAGGGAAATCGAAATGATTTTTATTAATTGTTTTACTAAATGCTATTAGCCAGCAATTATATATATATATATATATATAGATTAGGACATCCACATCTAGCGCTACAAACGAGCCGAGCCGAGTCGAGCATTGGCTTTATCGAGCACGATTATTTTTTTTTTAGCTGCTCGAGCTTGTCCAGCTCAATTTTCTAGGCCCGAGCTCGACTCGATAAGAAAATACGAGCTCGAGCTCGGCTCGAGTTCGGTTCGAAAATTTTCAAACAATTTTGTCAAATTATATATATAGAAGGGGTATTTAGTAATTTATCATATATCTCGAGCCGCTCGACAATGTGAAATATGGGCTCGAGCTCGACTCGAGTTCGGTCAAACTCGAGCTCGAGCTGCTCGACTCGTGTGCAGCCCTATCCACATCCATTAATTTTTTTTTCCATTCATTCAATCAAAAAGTTTCACTTTCTCTCATCCACATCATCTTCTCTCTCCATTTAAACATACAATCCCTACACATTCATTTAAATACAAATATGAGACCCATTATAAATAAAAAATATAAATAAAAAAAAAAAAAAAAAAATAAAAAAGGCTCAAAAGAGCCGTTCAATGATGTTAATAATGATGTTAACGGTAACAATGGTCCAACGCATTAATGAATGACTGCATTTGTTAATGGGGATACTGCGTTTAAATGGGGCCATTAAATGCACCAATACAGATGGCCTTAAGCATCTTATGTTCATAATTACTCCTTGATTTTTGTAATGTCAACTGTACCACGTAATGGTATATATAAATCCTTTGAGTAGTAAATAAGAAAAATACATTACTCTTATATTGGTAGTAATATATCGTCAAATTAATTGAAGTGGGTAAATTAAGTGTATTAATCACCCAAAGTTGACTTTCATTTCTTTTCTCTCATCCATTACTTCTCTCTCGTTCATTTCTTTCGATCGGCCCCGAGCGGATTTCGTCCCCCCGTCTATTTTCGGCCCCTTTCTCCTTTGGAGCTTCTTCCCCGGTGGATAGCTCCTAAGGTCTTGTTGATGACTCGACGAAGGTGTTCGATTGTGCTGGCGCCTCTCGCAGCTTCAGCGGCGGGCGGAGCCAAGGCTGGCACTGCCTTCTCTCCCGTTTTATGTCTGATCCTAGGTTGGGGATGGACAGTTCCTTCGGCAATGCTCTTTCGTCTCGGGTGTTTGGGTTGTGGCTTTCGAAGTTTTGCCATGGGAGGTGACAATTGTTGGGCTTCGGTGCAGTTTCCGGTGGGGGGTCATTTTCGAAGGAGATTTTGGTTTGTTGTCACTAGTCTAGTTAGCCTTAGCCTTAGAGTTGTGGAGTTGGGAGTTTCTATATCTGTGTCGGAGCCTGATCTGTCTTTGGTTATTGTCTTTACGGGGGAGGTTCGGGAGTTGTGTGTTTTTTTCTAGTTTTTTATTTTCAGTCCAACTGCGTCTGGTTTAGTATCCCGTTTGGAGTTATTTTGTTTCTTTTATGAAGTTCTTTTGTTTTGCGGGTGTTTGTACCCTTGGTCCCTGGTGTAATTCCAAGGAATGTTAGATCTAGACTTTGTTTTGACTTTGTGGTGTCCTTTGACATCTCGGTTGTACCTTTTTTTACTCCCCACAAGCCCACAATTCACACCTCTTCCTCTCAACAATAGCAGATGCTCCTCCCATCTTCAGATCCTTGTTTTTTCTCAACTCAGTCTTCGTCCCATGCCAACCCCGTTATTCGCGCCGGCCCTCATGCCACCCTCACCGTCCACGCCGCAGCCACTTCCTCTGACCCCTCCTCCGCCACCGTGGTGCCGCTCAAGCATTACCGCCCCACAGACGAGAACGTCCGCGACGAGGCCCATCACCACGAAATCAGCAAAGTTCTACCGACAAGGGTCGATGTAATTGAGAGTAACACCCTATTTTAGAAGTGGGACACTGGGGTTGAACTCCCTTCTTTTACCGTCACTGAACGAATCCATGGTGACGTAGAACTCTTATTATAAGTTTTAACCATTGTTTCACCAGACGGTGCGGCCTTCCCAACGATGTCCCTTCGCAGTGGGCCAAAGTTTAATACCTCAAGTGCGTAAACGGTGGCGGCTGCCTCCTCGACGGCTCTACTCGTGAGTGCAAGGAGGGTAAACTGGCTCAATCGGGGTTGGACCGAGTTGTTTGATCCTATAAAACATAGTCTATGTATTTTGTCTGAGTGTGGTTGAATTTTCTCTTGTTATTATTATTATTATCATTATTATTATTATTACTATTATTTTTTTTTATTTTTTTTTTACTTGAGTCGATTGTCGAGTTTTGATATCATTTATTTTGATAATGATAATTATTTTATTATGTGATGGCAACATGAGACATTCCAATTGTTGTTTACTTCATATTTCTAAATCAACTATGTGAAGTATATAAACCGTTTACACGTTGCAGTCAAGAACTTGCACACATTCTTGTTTAGTATAAGTTCAGTTAGATGTGGTTATTATCCACATTTTGAGACATTCTAAAACACTGATTAGCTTTGACCGGGATGATGTGCCAGAGACCTGATACGAGGTTAACCTACTACTGCAAATAAAATAACCCGACTGAGGTGTTCATGAATTTTTGGTGAGTGTGTCCTCGAGATATAGATATGACCATGGCAAGGATGTCCTAATCGTGGTTTTCCTTGTTTTTTAGTTCTAGACTTAAGGGTTAAAATCCATTACTTGTTCTCAATTTGGTACTTCTAATTTGTTGGTTTTGGTTTAGAATTTTAATATTCAATTATGCGTTCTCGAATTGAGTTTGGATGGTGAGAACTGAGAACACGATGTTCAATAAATAGATATTGTGAAAATGAATACTGGGCATTTTTTCGGTAAATAATGAAAAAATTGTTGTACCATATCGAATTTTTGGTAATGGAACATGTATTGGTTGGGTTTTGTTAGCCACAAATTGAAAACCAAATAGTTTGGTTTGGTTCGGTAGATCAGATTTGGTTTGGTTAAGAGGCAGGTTTGTTCTAACAGAGCGACCATCGAAACATGGAGGTGGTATGAAGCCCCGCAGACACCAAGACCAATAGCGTCTTGGAGTCGCATGGTTCCATATTTTGAACTTAGGTATTAAACCAGATAGTGTAGTCTTCAAGATCTCGTCGGCCCCTTAGACAATGTTGGTGATCGGCTCCTTCGGGATCATGCACACCTCGGAGCAGATAAAATGCATTTGGAAGGTTGATCGAAGTTGTTCCCAGTTATGGATTGACCTCGAGGGCAAAGGAATGGTACCACCGTAGGGCCTTTGGCCCCAGAGCAAGGGAGAAGGTGCGGCATCTGAGAGCATCACTTGCTCCATACAGGTCAATCCAAGATGTATATTGCACCAAATGAGAACTTGAATTAGTGAAATCGGGAATAGGTTGATGTGTCGGCTCTGGAGTCTGTTTGGCAAGGCTTCAAGCTCAAATATCCACTATTTTAGTCTGGCGATATTTTTAGCATCAATGCAGAGAGCTCTCTTTGTGATTTGGTGGCAGACATCGCCGCGTCGAAAATTATTACCCAATCGCTCGAACACAGAAACAACGCTCGAACTCATCTCAGAGCCAGATCGAGCCTGACTTTCACCCACTCCCTCGTGAAGTTTAGTTGGGCAGCCAACTTTATGCTTGTTCTTGTTATTAGTCCTAGGAAGATCGTAAGAGTTGCCTTCCTAGGATGTTGACATTTGTGGTTGTGGAGGTTTAGGAATCAACTTTTGAGAAGAGGCCGATGTTTCACTTGACGAAGGTAGGATTATTGAAAATTTGGCTTATATCGGTGAGAGGATAAGAATTATCCTCTCAATTTTCTTGGCTATAAGTGTGATTGTTGGACGAAGACATAACTTCAAAGTGGTTGTGAAATGTGTACAATTGTGAGTTTGAAGATTCATTAAAACACTATATTAGGTCTTTCTTTCTAGCGCCAATCTGTTAATCATACCGAGTTACTCACTTTACATTTTGCTTTCCATACGAGTAAAATACATCATTTCATTTATTCAACATTTGAACCTTGAAAGACCCATCTCTATCTCACTCCTCAACCTTTTTTCCCTCAAAAAAATCTTCAAAATTTCGAAATCTCTTGGAAAAATTATCACATTGCTCGATCATCCCCTCACATTTCAAACACAAAAATCTGGAAATTTTGCTTTCGTTTCAATCCCGCATTGCAAATTTCTGTGTGGATAATCGAATCGAAAATGAGCTCACAGAGATCCTCAAAAACCCCAAACCAAACGGCGGCCCCAAGAACATCTTCGTCCTCACTCTCCTCCCATCTGGCCATGGTGGAGCTGAAGCAGCGGATACTCACCTCCCTCTCCAAGCTCTCCGACCGCGACACCCACCAGATCGCCCTCGAGGACCTCGAGACCATCATTCTGTCCCTCTCCAGCGACGGCGTCCCCATGCTTCTCAACTGCCTCTACGACGCCGCCACCGACACCAAGCCCGCCGTCAAGAAGGAGGGCGTCCGCCTCCTGGCCGTCCTCTGCGCCGTCCACACCGACCCCGCCGCCACGCATCTCCCCAAGATCATCGCGCACATTGTGAGGAGGCTCAAGGACTCAGATTCCCAGATCCGAGAGGCCTGCCGCGACTCAATTGGCTCGCTGGCGGGGATATATCTGAAGAAGGGCGACAGCGTCGTGTCTCTTTTCGTGAAGCCGCTGTTTGAGGTGATGAGCGAGAACAACAAGGCTGCCCAGGGTGGGGCCGCCTTGTGCCTGGCCAAGATGGTGGAGTGCGCCTCTGACCCGCCATTAAATACTTTCCAGAAGCTCTGTACGAGGGTCTGCAAGTATCTCAATAGCACGAATTTCACGGCCAAGGCTTCTCTTTTGCAAGTCGTGTCTAGTTTGTCCCAGGTTTGTACAGTTGATAGTCATTTGACGTCTGAGTTTGACTTTGGTAGCATTTTGCACTATAGTCAGCGTTGAAGTTGTATGTTTTACTGTTTGACTTTCACAAGCAATGTTCTTTGAATCTTGATTGGTGTGGTTTAAGATTCTGGCAACTACAAATTGATAGTGTGGAGAAGTATTTATAAATCATTGCCAATTGATTTTGCATGACCAAACTTTGGTTGCTACAAACTTGAGTAGCATTACTTTATATTCCGAAGAGCAAAAGCTTTGTTATACTACTTTCAGCAAACTAGACAAGACAAGAAAATTTCTGTGTGAGCCGAACATAGTTTTGTGTTTGAGTGTTGATTTTTTTATTTCTCTCTGTAATGCCTTAAAGATCTACATGATGTTCTATGCGCGTTGTAGGTAGGAGCAATTTCACAACAAAGTTTGGAACCATTACTTCAGAGTATTCACGAATGTCTTAGCAGTGCAGATTGGGCGACGAGGAAAGCTGCTGCCGAAACATTAATTGTCATATCTTCAAACACTGGCAACATAACTGCAGAAGTAGCTGCTCCCACTTTGAGCGCGCTTGAGGCTAGTCGATTTGACAAGGTACGTATCGGAATAACATCCACTTGAAAACCTTTTTAACATATTCCTCTGTAAATGTTATGAATTTGTGACGCCAGTCCACAAACTTGCTTTGCTTAGTTTTCTATAGTTTTCAATGCTGCATTTCCGGTTTATTGGTCTCAATTTTGTAGTTGTGGAATTGACCTTAGTTCGTACATTTGGTTACTACTTCTAAGTACTTGATTATGTTGAAATTGATTATGTTGAAATTGATCTCTGACGATTTAGCAAGGTAAATTAGGATTAATGTACCGGGTTTTGATTGTTTGAAAAATTCTTAATTTTGTCTGTGCTGCTAATCTCAGTTCAATAATTTTGGAATGGATTATTTCTTTTCTCTTTATACTACTAAGGTCTGAATACTAGACTAGGATTTGTACTAAAGCTACGATGTTGCGTTTTTCCCATTTTCCTTTGTTTCCCGTCCGCATCAATATTTGTTGGTGATTGGTGCACTATATACTTTTTATTTTTTATGTGTTAAATCAACTCGAGTGTGACTCTTTGAATGGTTTGAAGGTCAAAGACGCATTTTGCATTCTCTTGTGAATCATTGCTATACATCGTATGTCAAATAATTTTGGATAGGGTGATCTTTCATTCATGGTGTTCCCTTTTCTCAATAACTATCAGTTTTAACTTAAACTGGAAATTTAGAATTAATAGAAGAGTGGACTTTGTTTTAATGATATATAGTTGCTCATAATTTTTTGTTTGTTGTTTAACATGTTCCAGGTAAAACCAGTTAGAGAGAGTATGACTGAGGCTTTGCAGATATGGAAGAAAATTTCTGGTAAAGGAGATGGACCTTCAGATGAAAATAAACCTTCATCTCATTGTAGGCATTTATAATAAAATAATAATAATAATAATAAATTCCTTGTCAACTCATGTGCAATAGAAATTTTCAGTTCATTCCTTCCCACTTCATCTTATATTGGTTAACCCTTCAGATGGCGACAATTCTGAATCTGGTGACCCATCCAATCGAAAAGACCTTAGTTCTGGTGATAGAGAAAGTGCAAAATCAGTGAAGGATTCACCTCATGGCTTGTTTCCAACTGATGTTAATTCAATCGCCAAAGGCAACAACATTTTGGACAAGGCAGTCGGGATCCTAAAGAAGAAGGCACCAGGACTAACAGACAAGGAATTGAACCCCGACTTCTTTCAGAAACTTGAAACCAGAGTTTCGGATGATTTACCTGTAGAAGTCGTTCTTCCTCGTCGATGCATCAATCCTTCAAACCCTCAAACCGAGGAGTTGCAATCAAATGCAGATCAAAATGAGGTGTTGCAATCAAATGCAGATCAGAATGGGTCCGGGATTAACTGCCAGGCTGGCGATGGAGCCTCCAGAACAAGACAGGGAAGCCGGGAGAGACGAGATACAGGTGATTATCATAATCGAGACACATCAAATGCTTATCCAGATTTTTCGAGAACTCACGAACAATCGGAAGGACTTATGAACAACAAAGGAAACTGGATGGCTATCCAAAAACAGCTGCTGCTGCTCGAGAGACAACAGGCCCATCTCATGAATATGCTGCAGGTGTACATTCTATCTGTATCTCGAATATTCCCAAACCTGCATTTTTGCCAATGAATGACCTTTTTTTGTTTTTTTTTTTTTTTTNTCATGGGCGGGTCCCACGACAGCATGTTGACCCTAGAAGACCGAGTACGTGGGCTCGAGAGAGTCATCGAGGACATGGCAAGGGACTTATCTATTTCATCAGGCAGGCCCTGCTTTGAGGGCCCCACTAATAATAGTAGGTTCCTCGGAAAGTACAACGGCTTCGCGGACTATTCCGGTGGCAAGTCAGGTAGAGGTGGCGACAGCTGGATTCACGTTGGGGAGAGATTCACAAAAGCAAGGAGCCCTTACGGTTCAGATTCTTGGGACCTCCATTATGGGAAAAACGGGCAGATTGGCCCCAGAAAAGGAATTCAGCCCAGTAGTAAACTGGAGAACGAAAAGCGGGCTTGGGCAAAGGGAGTTGGGCCCGTCAGGTTTGGGGAGGGCCCATCGGCTAGGAGCGTGTGGCAGGCTTCGAAAGACGAGGCCACTTTGGAAGCTATTCGGGTGGCTAATATGGCTGAGAGAAGAGGTGAGGCATTAGCATTAGGTGGTGGTGATAATGATGATGGGGTTCGGGAGCGGGACTCGGTTTGGACTGCTTGGAGCAATGCAATGGATGCTTTTCACAGTGGGGACATGGATTCGGCTTTTGCCGAGGCTCTGTCCACCTGTGATGATGTCTTGCTTGTGAAGCTCATGGACAGATCAGGGCCTGTCTTGGACCAGCTGTCGGGCGAGGTGGCTAGCAAGGTTCTGAATGCTGTTTCGCAGTTGCTGATCACGGACCACAACTTTTACGACATGTTCTTGTACTGGATTCAGCAGGTAAAGTGTCTGCTTCTTAACTAACCATTATTATGGACCTGTTATGTTGTTGTAGCTCTATTTCAGACTGCACAAGGGATTTTTTGCTCTCTTTGTTGTTTTTCACAGAAGACAAAAATTAAATTTTTAAAGTTAGAGCACGAACAATGCTTTGGGTATAATTTTGCTTACCTGACATGTAAATAGACTTAAGTCTTGGATGACATGGACAAAATTATAAAAAAGTAAGGAAAGTAACTCCAATGCAAAGAGACTTGGTCTCTACTTGGGTCTAAAATAGACTCAAGGGTAGACTGGGTCTCATTTTCTTGCTTGCCACATCAGCAGGACCATTTGCATTGGAGTATATATTTTTCTAGACTGGGTCTATTTCCTATGTGGCCTTACATTTTTTTTAAAGAACCCAAAGCATTGTGGATGCTCTTAGCTTCTTACAGAAGAATTGTCGTCTAAAAATTAACCTTCCTAGAATCGATATGGTCAGAATGGAAGCCGCCCATCTTCCAATATGCAGATGGGTTATTTGTAATTTTGTAAGATGGCTGGATATTGAATAATTGTGTGTGTAAATTATTCAGGCTGAACTCCGGGCGTCATTTTGTAAATACTAATTGCTCCTTATGAGAGTGGTTTGGAGAGGTTCACTTCTCCTTCCATAACATCCATCTAGCTATGTCTTGACATTGTTTTGCTTCTTGTTCTCAGCTGACAGATATTGTCATGGCAAATGACCCTGATGTGCTGGGTATCCCAATGGAAGTAAAGCGGAATATTCTACTTAATTTACACGAAGCATCTTCACTCATCGAGCTTCCCGAGGGCTGGGAAGGATCACCTCCAGATCAACTCCTAATTCAGCTGGCTTCAGCCTGGGAGATGAATCTGGAAAATCTTGGCAAGTAGCTGCATAGACATTTTTTCTATTGATATTATTAGCTTTTGGAGCTGCCCCATTATTCTGATGCTTTTTCATTCAACTTCCTCAAATATTTATTTCGTTAACTATTGTTGGGTAGTATTGTTTGTATCTACTACTCAGAAAGTTCTGTGTAGGAGAATTAGTTGTCTGCCAAGATACCAATATTTGAGTTTAAACAAAGTGATCCTTCAGAATAGCAGCAGTTACAATCATAACCATAAAAATGTGAAAAACTTTGAAGCTGACATTTATAGCATTCTCTGGGAGCATGAACTGTATATACACTCCAAGGATCCCTTACATACAGCACCCGAGTTAGCTTACCAGTCTCCAAATGGCATCCACATATATATTATATTACCTAAAATTACAAAAACCACCCTCTGGATGCCAAAAACGAAATTAAATTGACAAATCAATTGACCGAATAATACTGACATAACAGCGTGAGGCACTTGGATATGAAGTAGCTGCCTTCACCTACTTGGCATCATACCAGTTTTGGGCACACTTGGCATCAACGGACAAATCAACTCTTAAGATATTTTTCCCATCAAATGGATATGACATGCAATTGACCACTATAGCCTTTGCCTCCTCAGCCGACTCAGTTGGCCCCTCTAGTATCACTTCATCATGAACCTGTTCAGATTGTATTTTCAAATTAAAGATTTTTTGTCAACAAGCCAAAAACCACAAAACTTATTTTCAAATTAATGAATTTTCTAAAACTGAAAAAAAATTGTTTGCCAGACTGATTATGCACAACAGAGGCACAATGAGGGTAGATGAATTGTGCTGGCATTTTATTTTCTTTCTTCTGTTTTCCGTTTTACTTACTATCAAGTAATCAAGTGTTTGGAGTAGGTGAAAAAGGGAGAGAAGCTAAGTTTTGACCTGTAATAAGAGCCTCCAGCCCAACTCCTTCAAACGTTCATTCTTCGATATCTCCAACATGGCACACATAGCGACATCTGCAGCACTACCCTGCCCCATTTAATTGAAAATGCATCAGCAAACCCATATGCCCAATAATAACCTCATGGAAAAGGGAATAGCAAAAGACAGTTAAGGGCTGACGCGAAAAGGACCTGCACTGGGGTATTGATGGCAGCACGTTCGATGTGATGTCTATGCGCTGAGCTGGCGTTCTTTAGTGATGGGAACTGGCGTGTCCTCCCTAGCAATGTGTAGACAAGTTTGCACTTACGCGCTTGTTGCTTACGGTCTTCCTGCCACTTCAGGACTTCTTGTCTGTCACTGTACCACAGGTCAACTGTCTCTTGAGCTTCTTCACGGGAAACCTATAATAGCACAGATATATACTCACATGCATTGTCTGAAATCAGTGAACACTGATTAAAAACTCAATGAAAGTGAAAATACCTTCCAGTCACGGGCAAGTCCCACGGTAGTTTTTCCGTATGCAATTGAAAAGTTGAGCATCTTTGCTTTCCTTCTTTCAGAAGCATACGCATCCTAAAATAATTATCCAAATCAATAAAAAGATCTAATTTTTTCAAGTCAGAAACACTCGATAATGATGCCAGGATTCGAGTGTTGTAATATTGCTGTAACCCTCATTAGCTCGACAATAGTAGATTTGGCAATTGAATTTTGCACAACTTGTTAATTGTAATTAGATGGAAGGATTCAACTTGTTGCTAGGAAAAAACATGTCAAGTTTGGGTTACCCTCAAATTCATGTCCATATCCATAAAACGAGATATTCTTATTTACTTGTGTGGTATGACGACTCCAATAGCTTATAACTCAATTTAACATCTAGATTAAGAAAGTTGACGATAAAATTTAAATAATGGAGCTCCTGCAAATGCGGAGATAACACACACTGAAGGGGCAGTTGCAAAAACTATCTTTGAGATTTGACCTAATTACAAAAAACTCCAACTCTCATGGCGAACATCACCTTCAATATCGCATATTATAAATTTTATCTACAAATAAAATGGTGGCGTTTGTTAAAGACGTCTAAGGTTTCTTGATAATTAGACTAAACTTAAAGCTATATTTCATATTATATTAACTTTTAAAAAGGGGATCTCTTGGGCAAACCTTTAGCAAAGGCACTGGAGGCTTATCTTCACCAGGTTGAGGATGCCATTCCAGAAGCACTTCCTTTCGTTCAACAGCAGCACGAATGTGTGGATACATATTCATAGCAGTCCTTGAGTGGAAATCTCCACCAGCTTTAAAAGCATCCAACATGCTCGTACAATTGGCCAGATGAGCAAGAATCCTTAGTTCCAACTGACAACAGAATGCGCTTCATCAACAAACATCGCCCAAAATTATAATTACTTCAAAAATTAATCCCGAGTTGACCTAACTACAAAAAGACCTCTTCAATTTTCCATTTTCTTAACAAGTATCCTGAATCGAGGTGCACTTTTGCAAAATAGATCAAAACATCAAGGAGATATCTTTAATTATGTATTTTGTAGATAGGATTAAACCTCAATGGTGTTTCTGTTATAAAATCCTAAAGATACAAACATAAATGCATGTTTTGGGAGGTCTCAGCTAATTTACCTGTCCATAATCAGCAACTATGAGGGAGTTGCCAGGTGCAGCAACAAATGCCTTTCGTATCTTGTACCGATCCTTCTCCAATGCAGGCTGGTTCTGTATTTCCGAAACACAATCTATTAATGCTCTGAAACAAATTGTATTAAAGAGAAATGTACAGGCAACGTCTTGACATATTAAGCAAAAGATAACATCTTTCTAAAAGCTACAAAGCCATAAGAAACAACCTAAGGAACCAAAATTAGGATTCAAAGTGAGGATTTATCTGGAGCACAGCAGTCTTTCGCTAATAGTAATTGCGTAAATAGGACAATGAAAAATAGGTCATTGGATAAACCTGCAAATTAGGTCTTCTTGCAGATAACCGCCCAGTTTCTGTGTTAAGATTTATGGAGCAATGGATTCTCCCATTCTTGCCAGATATATGGTTCCCCTAAGTTAAACAATGAAAAAAAAGAGAGCAAGAGATTATCATCAACTCTTGCTTTTAAATAATATAATTACTCATTCAGCGGACAAGAATTTACGAACTCCAGACAAAGACTAAGGGCTGCTCAAGATTGAAAGCAGATGAGAAGATAAATAGCCATATCATTCATTGTAAAATTTATCAAACCATTTTTCATCGGTACAAACATAGGAAATTGAAGATCACAATTTTACACCAGAGCTATCGAGGGTGTTACCTGTAGGGGGATAATGAAGTTGGATAAGAGAGAATCTATAGCACAACTTTCGCACAAAGCAGCAAATGCATGGCAAGCCTCGATTCCTGCCTGCCCACCACCAAAAGCAGAGTAAGCTTCTCCATAAGCAGAGATGTCAGTTTCTGCGATTGGATTTGCTTTGTGGCATTCGGAATATTTTGTGGTCATATTTTCAGGCTGTTCTTCGTCGTTTTCTTCATCGAGGAAGTCAAAGTCAGCAGAAACCTTACCAGCAAGGCTCCTTAAGACATCTCCACTAACAGATGGCCAACCACTCGCAGTGTACTTTTCAGGCTTGATATTGACAAAATCGGGCTTACGCAATACTATTTTATGAAATTTTGTAGGACTCTTCTTTCCTTCTTCAATTATGTTATCTACATTGGGAACCTTTACCTCCTTCTCATCAAGAAACTCATTTGGATCCTTCCTGCAGAGAAAATATGATAATAAATGTATAAGCAAATGAAACGATAAAAAAGTATTGTTAATTTCAGTTCCTTGAATGAGCAAGTGCAATCATGCATTGCCATTGGATGTAAATGAAGTAGTATGTCTTAGTTCCAAAAGAGAGCAACCTTTCAGTTTTCAGCTGTTTTAATTAGCAACACTAATTTTCCAACTGCAAATCCCAATTTAGAGATTCTTCTTAGTTATTTATCAAAAAAACATATCATCCGCCTGAGCTAGCTAAAACTGCCAATGGTAGGATCTCATAGGTCTCATTTGTGTTCAGCATCGACACTTCAACTTTTAGCTCCTATGCTTTTATAGTTATATATCAGTTATGCCTTTGACCAAATTAAAATGTAAAGATAAAAAGAAAACAAAAGAACATAAAACACAAAAGCCATACCATTTCCCACAACAACAAAAAATAATAAATCAATAAATAGTGCATGACATAATAAAATAAAATAACTTGATCCCTACCTGTTCTGTATACCACCAAAGAGAAATTGGCGCAACTGTGTATCACTCCCCACGTTCATGTACTTTGCATCAGGACAATACTTTGATGCCCACTTACGAAACCTATCGGCCGCAATCTGTTGCTCTGCCTTAGCCACTTTCTCAATCTCAGCAAGGTACAAGCGGTTGACCAGCATCCCCTCTGTCTCCATTTTCACGAGAAGCTCACCAAAGGGCTGTAAATATCTCTGGTAGTTCTCAAACATCGACCCCTTGTACACACCGTCCACACACCAATAAGCCTTCTTCAGTTTGTTCTCCAAACTTTCATATAGCCTCAAAGTGCTTATTGAGTCCAAAGCTGAATAACAAATCCAAAGTTTTCTCTCGGTTCGTTGGAGCTCCTCAACGGGAGGAATGGTGACCAATTTTCCCTCTGAACCATCCTTTTTCATTTTTTTCTTGCCAAAGATGGTCTTCATTGATACTTTCCCAACATCCATTTGGTCAGGCCCACTCTTGGCATTCTCCATGACTGTACGATCACCTGTTAGTGCTTCCAAAGAGTAACCTCCCTCCATTCGCCTAGATGCGTTCCATAACCGAGCCATGTGCATTGTGTCAGCATAGAAACCAGAAACTTTCAGCCCATAGTTCTCTATGACATGATTGTCAAAGCTATAATTGTGCCACACCTACAAAAACAAAAAGTAAATATCTGTTATTATACAAATCAGTGTCCTAGTTGTAGTAGAAGAAGGTCCAAGTGAGTCCTGAAAAGTTAAATGCTGCCAGTAATGGACTGGACAACAATA